TATTTCCACCAAATAATGTTACATTTACTAGAACTTATATGGTCAATGCAAATGAAAATGGTTTTAGACAAGTGAATTGGGCAAAACCAATACCAGGACAATTATATAACATGACAGCTGTTACAACAGGAGGAGGTCAAGTTAGATTACGTTTCATTTTGGATTGTAATAATCAGACAAAGACTGGTGGAACTCCTTATTTAAATAATGGTCAATTCAGTATTTTCGTATGGCCAACCAAGTATTGTTATTCACAATTATTAGCAGGTAGTGGAACAACACTTAATCAGGAATCATCTTCCTCTTGTACTATTTTGAAGGTTGAAACTCCACAAACTACTACTTCCTCTAATGGAATTATTGCAGTCAACTCAACCAATACTTTACCAGGTAGTAAATCTGTAATAATAATTGGAGAAGAGAAAAATTCTCTAGCAAGTACTAGACAAGTTGTATCATTTGGATTAACATGTCTATTATTGAGTGTATTAATTTTCCTATTATAAACTTGGTCAATGATATCTCCTTATTTTTACAATGTTATTGTCTTTTTGCTCAAAGAATTAAAATTAAAACATTTTTATTGTTGAATTAAAATAAAATTATTTCTAAATTGTTTTTTTAAATTTTTATAATTTTCCAAATCATTAACAACAATTAAACTTTCTAAATGTGAAATATCTGCTACAAAAATAGAAATAATTTGATGTGTTGTAATATAATATTGATCAATTTTTTTATAAATTTCAATAAATAAATTATCATTTACTAAATTTACTAATTGACCAATATAAATATTTACATTTTCATTTTCATTTAATAAAATTTTAATAAAATCATTTTTTTGAATAATAAAATTATTAAATTTTAATAAATTAATATTTTCAATAGGATTATTAAATAAATTATTAATATTATATTTTAAATAATTAATATTTCTTTGATTTATATTAATTAAATCATTTAAATTTAAATTATTTTTATAATTTTCAATATAATAAATTCTTTCATTATTATTTAAATATAATTTAAATTCAACATTATTTATAGGTAATTCAATATTTTCATTATTTGTTTTTTTAAATAAATTTTCAAATAAATTATATTCAGTACCAATTATATTTAATCCTATAATTAAATCTATTTTATAATATTTATTATCAAATGTTTTAATTAAATCTCCTATTTTAATCATTTCATAATTTCCATCTTTAATTTGAATTATTTCATTAATATTTGAATTATTTAAAAAATAAAATCCATTTTCATAATTATTTAAATTATTTAAATTA